GAAGCTGAAGAAATGGTCACAAATTCTAAAACCAAAAACAGTGATATACTGGGTGGTATAATGCTTGTAGTAATAACATTTAATCTACAGCAAGTTCTTTCACAGCAATGATTTGTATCAAAACTGCATTCTATTTAAGGAAATTTTAGGTTTATAATCTTTGCATTACATATGCAAACTTACAATGTTTGTATGTATGTTTGTATGTATGTATGTTTGTATGTTTGTATGTATGTATGTTTGTATGTATGTATGTTTGTATGTTTGTATGTATGTATGTTTGTATGTATGTATGTATGTATGGCCTGCAGAGGCTCTAAAGTTATAATGCCTTTAAAAGGTTTTGTTGAAGATTCAAAGAAATCATTATCATACAAAGATTCAGTTGCCTTCTTGAATTCTGCAGAAGACAAAAACATAAATATAATAAAATTTTAGATGTCTATAACACACCATGCTAAACTCTAAAAGTAACTCTATTTAGTAGCTGGCCACACCTACTTGGATTCAGACAGACTTCTTGAAGATAGAAAAGCCTAAGTACAGAACACAGTATGTCATTATGGTCTCCAACTGAATAGATTTAATAAAGCAAGCATATGGCTTGAAATGTGTCTGGATATTTCAAGCATTTTGGAACTTGAATTATCTAGACAAGCTCCAAATTATTGCATAAATAGGAATATGTATGCAAAAGGAAATAGTTGATCTGCAGAAATGCAGGACAAAGGTTGACACATCAAAGCCATTGTTATATTTCCCAAATAACCAGCATTCATCTTCTGAATTTCATTGGCGGACGAATGCTGATGAAACAGAAGATAAGAGTCCAGCAAGAAGGGGGAGAATCATTCGTTTCCAGATGCTGCAGATGTTTCATCAAATTGGTAAAATGGTAGGCCAATTTCTATCAAAAAATATAATCTCTGCAACATGCTCAATTATACTCTGCAACAGGTGAGTTTTTTTCTTAGAATTAAACAACAGAAATTCAGGAAGCAAAATGTTCTATTTGATACTAATTTAATGATTAATATGTTCCATTAGCTATTGTATTTTTGTAAAAATACATGATGATTGCATAGTAACCTGTATCAATAAAAAACACAAACCCTAAAGTTTGTATGCTCCTCTTTTACACTAATATCATCTCCAAACATGAATATTTGCTAGAATTGCTGGCATGAGAACCTAACAGACAAAATTTGGTACATGTATCTTATTTATTGGACAAGCTACAAAATGGAACACACATGTTAAATTTATCAAGAACATGCTTTTGTTGCATATATCTTTTAATGTCAATCCTTCAATTAACATGGTCTATAAGTAAAGAAACTTGTAGCATAAACTTAAGTAATCTTATATAAAATAATTTCTGAATGAAAATTTAATTAAAAAAACCTTAAAATGGTTCCTACAACTATTTTCTCAAGTCCAAGAAAACTTAAAGAGAATCTGATGGATAACTTCATCTAAAAATATTTTTGTAAGTCATTATTTGCTTGAATAAACTCATTCATGATTGTTTAGCTAAAAATGCTGTATGATTTAAGTTCTGCTCATAGTTGCAAACAGATCTAAAATTACAAAAAAAGCTAGAATTTTAAAAATTATGCTAAATACTTCTACATAATTTTAACTTATACATAGCTACATAATTTAACATTACCTTAATTTTTAAAAATAATAATATTTAAAATTACTTTGTTATTTACTAAACTTTTACAATTACTATTGCGCACACACATCACACATGAACATAAAAAATAAAATAAAAATTTGAGTTCTATTTATTATAATCAGAAATACATTAAAAAAAAAAAAAAAAAGAGNATATGTCTTTTGATCTCGAATATCTAGAAGAATTTCAATTGGTAGTTATGAATTTTCGTTTAAAGTATAATTAAATTTTAATTATTGTTATCAAATATTTTGCTATACGAAGCATTTAAATTGTAAATTAATTGTAACACGGATATTACTAAAGATGAAAGCATATTTTAATGCGAATATGTTGGAAAATATCCAGATTTTACGATTCTTTCAAGTTTAAATCGATAGAGAAATTTGTTAATTACGTTCAATAAATATTGATCTGGAAGAAAAAATTGATATTTAAATTAAAAACATGCTATTTGGAACTTGAATTATCTAGACAACCTAGACTTTCCTAGCTGTTACAGAATATAAGATAAAGAAAGTATGTTAATTGGTAAAATTTTGATACCCTTGGTTTTGTATTCTCAATATTTTGATATTCTAGATTCCAAAAATGTAAAAAAGAAAACACACTTACAAAATTTGTTTGTATGTGTATTTTGGATTATATCTAAAAAAACTGGATGAACCAAAAATTTTGAAACTTAAAAGGTTTATTTATATATCTGGGGCATTGATACTATTAAATTTTGGTAAAGGTCAAGGAATGGGAGTGTCATCTCAAGTAAGGTCAGACTTCATAAAAGTATTACATATTACTAGCATTTACAATTTCTTTAAAACTCATTCCTACTCAAAAAAAATCTTTTGTCATTTTATAATAAAAATTATTTTTAAATTAAATTTCAACAGATGGCACTGCAACTTTAATTTGAGCACTGAAAAAGCTGTGCCAAAATAGCAAGTGATTTATTTTCTACAATTAAATTTTTTTCTTTAAAAAATTGATTTATATTTATTTAATATGGCAATTTAAATTTACAACTTTCAAGACAATCAAAGATATTAAAACTATTAATTTTTGCCAGTCCAAGACATATTTGAGAACAAATAAAATTAGTTTTGTGGTTACTTCTTCATAATAGTATTATAACATGATTTCTATTGTCAGAATCTATTCTTTAGAACTATGAATCACTAACTGTAAATTGACTAAGTATTATGATTATTAATCCATGATCCATATAAAGAGGCTATTTTCTATATCAACTAGTTTTTTCAAAGACTTTCATCAAATTGGCTTACTTAGCTGTGGTTCCATAATATCCTTATGCTATATGCTATCCTTCTAACTTTTGTAAAATTCTTCAGTCAAAAAATTTTTCTGCTTATCATAAGCCCCAAAAATCCACTACAGAAAATCTGTCTTATGCATGCAATTGCATACAATTTTTCTTCATTGTCACACAATCACATGCATAAGGTGATAATTTTACCAAAAATGACATCATGAAGATCTTTCACAATTGCCACAAGAGATATAATGTCATGACTACATTTGTCAGCTATGCATGATGTTGAGCACTTGTCTCTAAGATAGTCTGAGGCACTATAACCAACAATTTAAATGTATCATGGCTTTTTTTTTTTGTTTTTTGGCATGAATAATCATTTTCTGGTCCTTTTGAAAAACACCTCAACCCTCCCATAATTTATTTCCATCTGAATTCTTCATATAGACCATGCAATTAAAGTTTCAACAAACTGAGCTACAGGAGCCCTGTCAAGGACACTGTTCTGTAAACAAAAGAACACAATGCTTAAAGAGTATTGCTTGATTTAATAGTTTTAATACATTACGATTATTTTCTGAATTTTTAGAAATATCCAAATACACTGTGCAAACTAAATTTTTATGTCATTTCAGTTAATTGTTTCATATAATTTCATACACATACGAGGTCTGTTCAAAAAGTATCAGACCTTTTTTTTTTTCCACGTAAACCAATGATGCGCGAGAGGCCTCCTTCGGTGGAGTTGTGGAGGGGATAGTCGTGCAGTCCTGAATTTTTTTCCCCCTGCAGGAAGCGTCAGTCGTTGGCAATCGGCCTATGAGTGAGGTCATGTAGTGCGCTCTTGTCGGATTCCACTAAGCTGGAAAATGACTAAACAACGTGAGCAGCGATATTACATCAAATTTTGCCAAAAACCTTGGCGATACCCAAGCGTAAACCATTCGCAAGATTCAGCAGGCTTTCGGGGACGATCCTCGAGGCCAAAAAAAGAGCGGCAGGTCCGCAGCAATATCAAACGTCATGTTGACAGTTTTTTTGACTCTCGTGGGGTGGTGTGTTGTGAGTACGCACCACAAAGCCAAAACACCGCAAAGGAGTACTACCAGGAGATCCTTCATCGTCTTTCCGATACAGTGCAACACAAACGACCGGATCTGTGGTCGATCAAAACTTAGCAGCTCCATCGTGATAACGCATCCAACCATTCTGTGCATCTGATTCAGGCTTTCGTTGCCAAACACAACACTCCTGTGGTTCGTCATGCTCCGTACTCTCCCCACATGGCTCCGTGTGACCTTTGGCTATTTCCCAAGCTGAAAATGCCGCTAAAAAAAACCCGAATTTAGTCGAGAGAAGACATCATGCGGAATCCGACAGACCGGCTGATGGCCATTCCAAAAGATGCGTTCCAGCAATGGCAGGAACGCTGGGAGAAGTGTATACATTACCAAGGAGACTACTTTGAAGGGGATTAGGGTTTTGTACCTCAAAGTCAATTAATTTATTTTTGCCGACCAAAGGTCCGATACTTTTTGAACACACCACGTATTCTAGAAATTATCTAACACATTTGTGTAAACAATGTTGTTAAAATGAAGTATTTTGTAACTTAATATAGTTCTGTAAATAAATAAATAAAAAAATGTAGCAAATTTCTTTAAATTCATGTACTACGATTAATGTACTGAACTGAAGTTTTTTCTAAGAATGCCATCAGATATTGTCAAATAAGATTAATAATTCATTTAATTTAGATGAAATTTTCTATCCATACGACGATTGCTAAAAATTATTAAACAGTCATGCATCAAATAAAAAAAATTAATTTCTGTTCAAAATATTTTTTGATTGAATCTATTAACTATTAAAGCAAGTTAAAAAATTTCACTTGAACAATTCTTATTTCTGTACAAATACTAATTTAGAAAAATAGAGGGAGAAAATGGTAATGAAGCTACTCTAAAGTAACTATTTCTTCATTACTGTTCTGTGTGTAAATATTTTAGTGTGTGTAATTACATATGTGACTATTGAGTTTGCCAAATTACAAATATTTACTCACCATTCTACACTTCCAAATGCATCAAAATCACTGAAGTCAGCCCATCCTCCTTGATCTTCAGCTGAAATTGAAGGATTTGATGTTTCCCATGGATTTGAAGACGTTGAGGCAGGAGCAACTTCCATTGGAACACTATCAAAAGTTGCTGTCCACACTATAATAATTAAAAACCAATATTGATTAATGAGTTAATAGTATTATTAAAAATACAAAGTAGTTATTTGAAAATAAATACAATGTAAAATATTTTTTTTTTATTTTATTTTTATACATCAAATTTGGTGATGTCTCTAAGACAACATATAATCTGCTACAACAGTATCAAAACATATCTAACTGCATTTCCACAAATGTGTCATTGAAAATAATTAACTGCACTAAATCATCCATATACAAGCTATACTTTGTATTGGGTTGATGCAAAAGCAAAGTTCATCCCATTTTTTGGACAAAAATTGAATAAAAATTTTTTTTACTAAAAATTATATTCAATCACTATAATATGTGCTATTCTGTTTGATGATCATTCTCCATCTCCCCAATAGCTGCATAATCTTGCACTCATAGAAGTTGAGGTTTTTGGCTGAAGAACTGATCCAGGTGATTTTTCAAGTCTTCCAAGGAAGTAAAGTTTTTATCATCTAAGCTGCTTTAATTAAAGTGATCTAAATAAATGTGTGAGGCCTGAGCGATACTCGAGTTCACGTGTTAAAAATATCATAAAGGTGTCAAATCAGGGGTTCGGGCTTTGATTCTAATGCTTGTAAAACTTGGAAGAAAAAAACCTAAATAAAATTGGGAAATAATAAAATTATTATTTGAGAGGAAAAAACAGTTTTTAAATAACCTTAAAAGGAGATACAGTGCTAATATTGTGTGTCAGACTTATAAGAATTCGAAACAATTAAATGCGAGCAGGAGTTTCAAGGTGCGATTATTTTCCCTTGATCAGATTAAAACAGTGTCGAATTAAACCTTTGGTAGCCCGAAATGGTCTGTCATCTGCTTAGATACAAGAAACTGACCAATCAAAAGCTAGACATCCAGGGAAGAGAATCTTTTAAAAACACTGAATCTCAAGGACAAAGAGACCTTTCCCCTGCTTTCCTAGTGAAGTTAACTGTAGAGACTTTTTCCAGCCTCTGATAGTGTCAACTATTGTCTAGACTTTCCCGGCTGACAACTATAGTCAACTGTCCAGACTTTTCCCTGCCATCCTGATTGAACTTCGGGTTATCATGCTTCACAACAACCTCTCACACTGTCGAGTATATCGACTGACTGCCCCAGGGCCAACAACTCGAACAGTCCAGAGCCACCAGAAGAGAAGACACTGTAGATTGTAAGACTAGTATAAATAAATGGGTTTGTTTGTCACTGTAGCTATTTGCCTCACTTTCCTTTATCCCACATACGATAAGTCCTGACATTTGGATATCACCAATTCAGTGACCCTCACAAATGGTAGCTGGAGGGTGCAAGGTTGGGAAAGTACAACGAATAGACCAAAACATCCCAGTCAGTAGTAAAAGTTTGTATTGAGTGACCAAAGAACATGTGGTCTAGCATTGTCTTAATGGAATACAATGCCCTTTCTGTTGGCTAATTCAGGCTGCTTCTGGTTGATTGCTCACTTTAATTCACTTAGTTGTAAACAGTATTTCTCTGAATTGATGGTCTAGTTTTCAGGTAACAGCTCAATGATTTCCTTCCAGTCCCACCAAATGCATAGCATAACCTTATTCAGATGTAAACTGGCTTTTGCACAGGTTGAAGGGGCATCTCCACACTTACACCATGATCTCTTACACTTAACATCATTACACGCAATCCATTTTTCATCATATGCAACCATCTGCTTTAAAAATGGATTAATTTTGTTGCATTTCAATACAGAACCACAAGCAGAAATTCAGTCTATAAAATTTTTCTCCATTAGCTTATGCAGCACTCTCATCTCTTGGCCTTGATAACCATTCCCAAGTTGATGAAATTGCCTTGACACTGTTGACTGGTTGATTCCAAAGAATTTCTCTGATCTCAAGTTGTTCTATGCCAATCACTTTCAATTAGCACCAATATTTCATTGCCATCAGCATTGGCCAGTCATCCAGAATGTGGTGCATCACCACATTCTTTTTTCTACACCATCAGCAACCTATCAGGATGCTTTATCTATACAGTAGAGCGTCGATTTTCCGAATCAATTGGGGACTGGGGTTGTCCGGATAACTGATATTTCAGATAACTGATTTACGTACGAAAAAATAGTTTAACGTATCTGATGTCGAAATTTTTCTCTGTTGCGTGTCGCTTTGCATTGAATTTTCGTCGATGTTAAGCTTAACAAAGACTATTGTATCGTTAAAAATTATATTTTTATTTTGTACAAACAAAATAAATATATTAAAAAATATAAAAATAATAAAAAAATTATACTTCAGATGTTAATTTAGTATCAAAAACGTAAAATATTTGAGTAGTCCAAGACATAGCCAAAGATTGAAGCACCACAGCACTGGCGAAAATTTAAATTTGCGGACTGGAATTCTTTCGGATGATTGACTTCCGGAAAATCGACGCTCTACTGTATTTACATTTTTTTTTGCTGAAACAGTAGCCTAAAAAGGAAGGTCGTCTTGGAAACTTTTGTGAATTGTTTTTAAGGATTGCTGATGGTGTAGAAACAGCGAAAGTATAGACAGAAGCAAGATTTTTTACCTTTGTGAATATGTCGTTTTTTTATTTATACACTTAATAAATGTAATTAATGCCGACCATAGGTTATTTTTACTATTTTTACTTAAAAGATTAAAATTGTTTTTGTGAAACTTTCTGAACTACTTATGGCATGTAGAATCATCAGCAACACCCGCAGCATACACAGTACATATCTTCTTTTGTATCTGCAAAGCATTCTTGCCTTTTTGCAAATAAAAAAAGCATAATATATTGAAAATGCTTGTTATTTTGTGCCATTTTTAATGCTTAGCAAAATTTAAAAAAAAACAACCAAGTAACAATTTTTTTCCCAAGTATTCACTGAATTCCTGCTATCAAACAACATAGAAAATTTGCATGTATGAAGCAGATAGCACTTTGGTTTTGCAATGCAATGCCATCTAGTGCCAAAAACAGGACAAACTTTTGCATCAAACCAATAGTAAACAATATTCTAACTAATATACAAGATTTCTATATTAAAATGCTGAAATATAAATTCAAGATAAAACCAATAAAACATTCACCAAATATCTTAATGTGTGACATTACACAATCTGAAAATCAGATACTATCTAGCAATGGAAATGTCATTGAGAAAAAAGTTCTCTCCCATATACTTATCCATCATATTTTCAGATTACATTTATAATAATTTACAATTTGTATTAAAAAAAATACATACTTTCTTGCTGATCAACATCCATTTTTACTTCTTCCGCTGGTAGTTGTGATATATTTGTTGTTGTTTTAGTTGAAGATGAAGTTTTATGCTCATCATCTTCAGATCCACTACTATTCTCATCACTATTCTCAGCTGATCTAAAAATTATTAAATAGATATTACTTACAACTTAAATATCAACTAATGCTTTATTTTTAAAAGCAACTAAATAATGTTTTAAATATTAAGCTTTTCAATAATAAATGCTATTTCAGAAAATGTACATATTAGTGATAAGAATATGCACTTTTCAATGTTGTCATATTATACTAGTTAATTAACCCAACTTCATCATGCAGTTGTTTATCTTACAATATTTCAAAATTAATATTTAAGATATCTGGAGAACAAAGTCTTCTAGAGTAAGTTTTCAATATAATTAAAACTTAAAAATTGTGCAATAAAGATTTTTTGATGATCTGGACTTCGTGAAACATTTGATCTAGAATACAGCATGTCTTTAATATTGTCAATAGGTTCTTGGAAATTGTGATGTCAAGCAAAATGACATAACAAAACTAATTTTACCATAGGCTAAGTGATGTAACGGATATAATTAGGTTAATGTAACTCTGTTTATGTTTGCAACCTCCTGCATTTATTTCCTATCTCACGTGAACAAATTTACATTTATAAACAAAATTCAGCAAAATTAATTTTAAGTTATTACAGATGTACAGTACATGTAGTTTTCTCAATGATATTATAATGAAACACTGTTAATTGAAGACTAGCTGTAGTTCTAAAAAGCACTACATCAAAATTTTATTTTTATATTAGATATTATTAATCAAAAGTCTGATTTTTGCTTATACATGCAAGGTTTGCTATATTTTCACATATTGTGCCAAACACCACAGATGATAAATGATTTTGTCTGTCTTTGTTGTGCATTTTTTGTTAAGCTGTGTAACAAACACAGACAATAATTTATTAAAAATACTCACAAATTAGAAAAAGTAAAAAAATTGTCTTCATTTCCTTACCTTATCAATACCTTGGGAACAACAGTCTTAATGGACAGTCAACCTTTTATTTGAGGCAATTCATCTGCCTTATGTAAAAAAATACAATATATTTATTGAAATTGTGCCTTTGCCCAGGAATTTTTAAAAACATTTTTACATAACAAGGCAGACAAGTATAGCCCGAAATAAAAGATTGACTCTGCCCATAAAAAGACTTGTGTTCCTGAGATGCTGATAAGGAGAAGATGAAAGTAAAAAATTGTCATCATTTCTTCTAATTCGTGAATACTTTTAATATTTCTTACTTTCCTGGCCATTACAAGTATTAAAATCATTTGTTTGTTTGCTTGTTTAAAAAATTTACCATTATTTCAAATACATTCATAATTTCATTAACAATAATTATTGTTCATGTACTTTTCCAATAGTTCCTTTTTAAAGCCAAATCAACATCTTAAGAGCAAACTATACAAACACAGAAAAACAACAAAAGTAGCAAATTTTAAATATTCTTCATACATATACATACAATATGCTTTTTTGTTTACAAATTATCAGAAAAATTGCAATAGCCCATAAAAGATTAAAAAGCTAACAAGATGAATTTTCCAGCACTCATAATTTATAAAGTTAACATTGCACATACTACCATGTTATGAAATCTCATTAAAAAATAATTTTTATATTATCAATTATTGAATTATCATAAAATACCAAAAGGCTTATTTTTTTAGGTAAGAGTAAGTCTTTAAAAAAAATTTTAAATGCTAATGAGTAAAACTTTCATTAAGTCTGAGTCCACTTGACATGTGACAAAGGTCAAGAGGGCAGAGAATGGAGGGGATTAACTACCAAAATTTAATAGTATCAATGCTCCATGTAAGGAAATAACCCTGCCAAGTTTCAAATTTTTGATTCATCCATTCCTGAGATACAATATATATTTGCAAAACAGATGCCAACACACACATACAGAATTTTTATTAAATTCCTAGGATCCTGGGTGTCAAAATGTTGAGAGATGCAAAACCCAAGGAGTCAAAATTTAACCACTTTCCCTATGCTATATTCAGGGTTCCTACTCAGATTTTGTTTTAATTTCCTTGACCAACTTTGTACAAATTCCAATCCTCATGTCCCTTATAATTTGGCACACTGACAAAATAAAACAGCCCTTGACTTACTATGCAAACGTTTTGCTTCTCCAATGTTTTAATTAGTTATTTTTTCTAATTAACAGTTATATATTTTTTATAATTGCCAAATTATTAAATTCAAAAATAAAATGTTTTATTAACATTCTGTTATTATTCCATAATCATAAATCTACATTGTTTTGAAAAAATTTATTATTATTCATTAACAATTTCTATATAATCCATTTACAAAAGTATATATTTATTAAATTTCTCTCTCAACAAATTTTCTGAACTTTATAAAATATTAATAAACTGAAAAAAATCAGAAATTGTTTTGTTACCCAACCAAAATTATTAAATTGAAAAATTGATAAATAATACCATTTAAATTATCAGTTTTGTGTACTTTGTAAATTTTTGAGAGTTTTGTGTAAGCTTGGAGAAATTTTAAGTACTGAAAATATTCTGCACTACTACTTGCTGCTTGCAGATGGCTAGATTTAGTCAAGCATTATCAGGGTTGGGTTGTCAGCAAAAAACGAACAAAGCAGCCAAGAAAGCAAATTTCCTGACTTTTTGACAATTTTTAACAAATTCCTTACATTCCATGACTTTTCTGAACACTAATGAAAATCCCTGACTTTCCAAGTGTGTAGGAACCCTGCCCTGTATATTCTGTAACAGCCAAGGAAGTAAAAAATAAAAACATTTTCTTTTTATTGACAAATGTGTTAAACAACTGTTCAATAAAACTTTTGATTAAAAGACTTACCTTTGTTGTGAAACAGAACCTGAGACAAATGTAACTTCATGCTCTTTATCTTCCCATACATCTTCATCACTGTCAGCATCTCCCAAATTTTGTACACGTTCTCTACAGGCTCGTTCAAACAATTCTTCACTTCTCTGAAAATGCATAAAGCAAAAATTAGCAATTCATCTACTGTTTCAAAATCTATACAATTTTATATAATTGATTATGGTCATATTATATTTTTATTATATATGAGGGGTGTTCAAAAAGTATCGGACCTTTATTTTTCCTGCGTAAACCAATGATGCATGGGAGGTCTCTTTCGGTGGAGTTGTGGAGGGGACAGTCATGCACAGTCCTGAATTTTTTCCCGCCTGCAGGAAGTGTCAGTCACTGGCAGTCGGCCTATGAGTGAGGACACGTGTAGCGAGCTCTCGTCAGATTCCACTAAGTTGGAAAATGACTAAATAACGTGAGCAGCGATATTGCATCAAATTTTACCAAAAGCTTGGCGATACCCAAGCGGAATCTATTCGCAAGACTCAGCAGGCTTTCGGGGACGATCCACGAGGCCAAAAAAAGCCCGGCAGGTCCGCAGAAATGCCAAGGTCATGTTGACAGTTTTTTTCGACTCCCACAGGGTGGTGTATCCTGAGTATGCGCCATAAGGCCAAACCATTGCAAAGGAGTACTACCAGGAGGTCCTTTGTCGTCTTTGTGATGCTGTGTGATGCAAATGACCGGATCTGTGATCAACCAAAACTTAGCAGCTCCATCATGATAACACACCCGCCCATTCTGCACATCTGATTCAGACTTTTGTCACCAAACACAACATTCCTGTGGTTCGTCACGCTCCGTACTCTCCCCACATGGCTCCGTGTGACCTTTGGCTATTTCCCAAGCTGAAAATGCCGCTAAAAAAAACCCGAATTTAGTCGAGAGAAGACATCGTGCAAAATCCGACGGACCGGCTGATGGACATTCCAAAAGATGCATTCCAGCAGTGTTTCCAGCAATGGCAGGAATGCTGGGAGAAGTGTATACATTACCAAGGAGACTACTTTGAAGGGGATTAGGGTTTTGTACCTCAAAATCAAAAAATTTATTTTTGCTGACCAAAGGTCCGATACTTTTTGAACACCCCTCGTATTGTGGCAGATGAAATGACTACCTAACCCTAATAATAAGAAAAACAACAGTTATTTAAAAATAAATTTTATGCATAATGAGAAGGGAGACTCATACAGAGCAGAGACAAATGAACTGTACCAAGTAAAACAACTGACAACAAATGGTCACAACTGCCATCACAAAGAGATGCACAAACTTTGTTTTTTAAGTGAATTATAATAAATTCTTTAAGAGAATAAGAATACTGTATCTTTAAACTTCTGTTCTAGCATGATATATTTCAGATTTTATTAGTTTGTAATATTGCATATATGAGAAGTTTTCTATTTGGCCATTTTTTTGGTACAATTTTCTATGGTGGTAATTTTTCATCTGCACTTTTTTCTGGTTACCATTATATCCTATAACAGCCAAAAATTAAAAATGTACTTCAGGTAATAAAAAAGAAATTTATAATTTTAAGAACTATAAAGATTCATTTAAGCTTTTGCTGACATTTTAAAAATGTTCAAATTAATAGAAGAATTTGTGATTTATCTAGTACAAAATTCTGATTTATCTAAAAAACACTCAGAAATGTGAATAATTTAACAATATTTATAGAAAAATTAATATACTTACTAAATTTTCATCTGAATTAAGTTGAAAACCTGTATCAGTTAGATGATTCAACTGATTTCTGAAATGAAATTTACATAAATTATTTGAATTGTACTATATAAAAAAGTGCAGAGATACAACAAATAGATAAGTTAACATAATGAAATCCGTTGATATTATGGTTCACTCTAGAATAACAGGAGAATTTTATTTCAATCCAATAAAAATATTAAAATAAAATCCAATTATGAAAAATATCAACAAAAATATTTTCCAAGCAGTATTAAAGCATAATTCAATTATCTAAATACAGAATTAGCCAAGCAACAGCCAATTCTCCTTTCAAACATCTTATGTAAACAGTTGATAAGAGAGTTAGCATCAAAAACATTGACCGTAGAAGGCTATTTTAAAAAAGAGAAGCATTTTCATTTGAATTTTTGTTTCAGAATTTTTATACTTTGTATGAATTTTTATTTCAGAAAAATTCATACTAAATATAAGGTCAGAAACAAATTAAACAACAGTTATGAAGTTAATACAAGTTAAGAATCCTTTATCCAAAATGTTCAGGATCAGAAGTGTTCCAGATTTTAGAATATTTGCATCTTATTTGATTTGATCTATATTAGTCTGATCTGACTTCTTTTTTTTAAATGTCAGTTATTTAGGAATTATTAATTTTCTATAAAACAAAAATTTTCACATCTAGGCAAACATGTTTTTTAAACAAATTACCATAAAACATGTAGAAATATTTTAGAGATATTCATATGAGATGCTCATGGAAACAATGGTAAATGCCACTGCCGTTAATTGCCATCACCAATCAAGTATGATCTTTTGACTCTTGTTCCAATTATGACATTATGAAAATAGTTTGATTGTAAAACACTTACAGTAAAAAATTGATGTTAGAATAAAATTATTCAGAATTATAATTCAATCACAATTTTTTTTTGCTGTATTCTAAAACTTCCATTTTGGCATTTACCATTTTGTTCCTCCAGCAGCTCATTTTAAATATTTAGATATATAATTTTAGATATAGTTAGTTACTCAGACTAAGTATGTCTAAAATTATTTTACCACTTCATAAAGAGGTGTTAATTGACCTGTTGGAAAAAATATTCTAAAAAACATACTATAAAATTAAAAATTGGGATTAAATTAAACTTGAGGAATACAAAAACATCACACCTTTTGTATGTGCACATACACACACTTTTCATAAAGTTTATTAGAGGGATGGGGGGTACCTATCAAAAAAGACCTGGAGAGACCACAAATATTTCCAGTACTTTGTGGAAGTTTCAATTTGTAGCATTCAAAACTTGAATTTTGAAGTTTTCAAATTTTAGGACTTCACTTGAATGATTCTAAACTTCTATCAAATATCAAACTTAAATGTTATAAAGTGGCTAGCAGTAACCCTTTTTCTATATCTATTAAAACACTAGTAATTTACCAACAGTATCCACAAATATTTAAATGTGTTTCTTAATGATTAATTTTGAAATCTATAATTAAAAATAATTAAAATGTAAATCAATATTTTTAATGCACTAATAGCCATAATTCAATTTTTAATTATACCAAAAAAACTTACTTTTAAAAACATAAAACAGAAAACAATTAAAATTAATTAATATACAGTAGAGCGTCGTTTTTCCGAAAGTCAATCATCCAAAAGAATTCCAGTCAGCAAATTTAAATTTTCGCCGGTACTGTGGCGCTTCAATCTTTGGCTATGTCTTGGGCTACTCAAATATTTTACGTTTTTGATACTAAATTAACATCTGAAGTATAATTTTTTATTATTTTTATATTTTTCAATATATTTATTTTGTTTGTACAAAATAAAAAAATAATTTTTAACGATACAATAGTCTTTGTTAGGCTTAACATCGACGAAAATTCAACGCGAAGCGACACACAACGGATAAAAATTTCGACATCGGATACGTTAAACTATTTTTTCGTAAGTAAATCAGTGATCCGAAATATCAGTTATCCGGACAACCCCAGTCCCCAATTGATTCGGAAAATCAACGCTCTACTGTATATTATTTTTCAAACTCATTAAAACAAAATAGTTTTAAACAGAACATTTAAATACATTTTGAATCAATCAATCAATTTATGATTAAATCATAAGAATCACCAATGAAAACTGATCTCAAAAAAGCAGGGCTGTGGAGTCGCTTAAAAATCTACCGACTCCAACTCCAACCTTTCCTTACCACCCGACTCCGTGTTATATATATATAACAAGTTGGTAAATAAAAAGGGAGTCGGAGTCGGCGGATTTTTTGACGACTCCGACTCTGGCCAAAACACCAAACTCCACGAACCTGACTCCACAGCCCTGTCAAAAAGAATAACAATTCTGTGACAGTTCTAATTTTCAAATTTGTTTTTTGAATATGCAATTTATGCACTCTTTTTTAATCAAAAATATTCTTATAACAGAAAATTATATATAGGAAAGTATACACTTTTATATTAATGCATATACAAAAAAAAGTAAGTACTATAAAGAAAAGTTACAGCAAAAATGAAAAAAGTTTATTGAAATTAATGATATTCTTTTGTAATATAAATCGAATAAAGCAAAATCATTCATATTTACTAATTTAAGTTTTTCCAATTATTTCTTAAGATGCATAAAATATATGCTATAATTTTAATGGTAATATTATTCTAAGTACTTCCATGCACACAAAGCTAGAACTACTTAAAATAAGAGAGACAAAACCTTTCACACTTTGTTTCTAGCAGTTTTAATCCATAAGAACAAATATTTCCAGCCATTTTGAATGGCCCACCTTCTTCAGGTACAATAAGATCAGTTGAAATGTTGGTAAGCAAATATTGAAATGACGTCAATGTTTACAAAGGTTTCTTCTTACTAGTGACATCATTGTTGATTACAAAGTTTAAAAAATATTGCTATTGTTAATTTTCTTTTAATTTTACCCAAGATGTATGACCAACTATTGATGATAAGATAATTGTTTAAACTTGGAAAATAAAATAACAAGATAAATATAGAAAATGCTTGACAGATTGCAACAGGATCAATGAGGTTGGATTAGCCTATTTAATTTAAGTGGTTATCGAAGAGTGATTGCCATGCGGTAGAGAGCGAGTCTGCATCTCTGCTGTTAATACAATTTTCCTTGAGGGATTTTGCAAAGATTTCTAGTGTTTCAACTGTAATAAGTTTGTTACTGTCAAGCATAGGTATAATAATCTTAGCCTCTTCCCATTTGGCCTTTATATTCAGTTTGCTTGCAAATTGAGCTACGGTGAAATTAAACTTTTTGTTGTGTGTGTCGTATTTATGCACAGCTATCCTTTTTGTAAGTCGTCTGTTAGTTAAGCCTATGTATGTTAATTTCTTGTTCAGATTAAATCTGTTGTCCTCTAGCGTAATCGAGTAAATCCCAGGTCTTCTGGCTTCACTGCATTTATCTTTGGTATTAGCCAGAAGTTTATATATCAGAGGGTTGTGTTTGTATGTATGTAAAAACCAATGTTCCAACAGACTTTATTCCACCTGAAGGCCATTCAAAACAGCTGAAAACATTTGTTCTTATGGATTAAAACTGCTAGAAACAAAGTGTGAAAGGTTTTGTCTCTCTTATTCTAAGTATAACAAAAGATGGCATAAAACAGAAACAGCATTTATTTCATGAATGCAAACAATAGTTGCAAGAATAGATATTTTAATTTTTATGATATATTTAATTTCATATCCAAAACTTCTTATATATTTGTAAGCATCTTTTATGACGTCATATAAAACATAGTGGATTCTTCTAAGAAATATGGATAAAAAACAACTCTGTGCTCCATTAAATATATAAAAACTATCTCAAATCTCACTCTATATATATATATCATCCTTATCTATCATCATAATGTTTGAGAGTAACCCTCCAATCTTAAGCAATACACATTAAAAATTAACTGTAATAACTTCTAAATTCCATTAGATAAGCAACATTCCATCACATAAATTCAAATAATTCTACAAAATAGGATCTACTAATTTAAAAAACTTTTTAAAAACACACACTAGCTACTTTTTACTTCGCTTTCTCACTTTTTGGAAATATGGAATAATGCAATTACAGTAGAGCATCGATTATTCGACTCAATTGGGGACTGGAGTTGGTCAGATAATTGAAAAGTCAGATAACCAAAAAGTATGAAAAAATCCATTATTAGTGTAGCATATTATTATATCCCATGTAATTAGTATATTGCTATTAACCTACTTTGTGTTGAATTTTCCTCCATGTTAAGCCAATCAAATTTTTTTTAAAATAATAATTGTTGCTATTGTATCGTTAAAAATTATTTTATTGCTCACAAAACAAACAACCATTCATAATTATAAAATTAAGCCTCGTTTAAATACTGGCCTCCCTTTCATGGTCAAGCCAGTGTTGCCAGCTAAAACACGCAAAAATATTATTAAAGTAGCCAAGACATAGCCAAATATTGTAGTGCCACATCACTAGTGGACATTTGAATTTGTCGACTAGAACGCAGTCGAGGTGATGGTTAATCGGGGGTCGGATAATCAATGCTCTACTGTAATACATTAAAACAGTCATTACTTTACATTTCAAACATTAATAAATGTATGTACAGGATTCCTACTCAAATTTTTGTTTTGAATTCCCTGACTTTCCTTGATTTTCCCTGACCAACTTTGTCCAAATTCCCGACCCTCACATTTTTTAGAGTGGAATATTGACATAATAAAACAGCATTTACTGTTAACATTGAGTACATATAGCCCTCTTTTTGCACAGTTGATATGCTTCAAAGACTGCTACATTTAAAAAATACAGTACATCCTGTAGAAAAACGTTTGATAGAATCCACAACTTCAATGTAATGAAAGAAATAAGCAATTTACAAACAAAACACAAGCTTTTTATTTTATCATCATTTATCATTATTATTTGTATGTAAATCTAGAAAATACAAGGTAACATAAAATCAACAAACAGTATTCTTTGATAAACAAATAGTACTGTACGGTGCTTAAAATGAACTCTCGACTTAGAAACACAATTTTAAAATCAATCTTTCAATAAAAAGAGTTAACTTTTTTTAAACAACAACGTAATTTTAATAAAAAGTTAAATTTAAAAATTTTTAAATAAAGCGTTTTCCTACGTAAAAAAATCAATGATTGTACATAAAGAGGAATAGGTGTAAGTTTATACTATAGCTTTTCCAACAAATCCATCTAATTTATTGTAAAATCTTTTTATTTTTTTTACAAAATGGACAATCAAAATACAGAGAAACTTCTTAGTATTAATCCTCTTTTTTCAAAATACAGATAATTAGAAAATAAAAAATGAATTACAATTCACAAAACACAAAAACTATTATATTAATGTAGTTTTAGCCTTTTCTCCTCAAGTGTATTTATTTTCATTTCAAACAATGGAAAATCCGACTCCAATCCAAATGATCGATCTTGGGAGCTGCATTGTCTAGACCACAGGTTCTCAAACTTATTTCGACCACTGCCCACTTTGAGATTTAAAAAAAATCTAGTGCCTCCATATTTTTTAACTTAACCTTTTCACATTACCATCTGTTGCATATCTTAAAAACAGTTATTGCAAATATAATGTTTAAACATGCATTATTATATGGATAGGATAGATAGGGTGTGACCCATATCCTATTTCTGAGATCAAAGAATGTTTTGATGAGAAGAAATAAAACTCATATTTAATCATTGAGCCTTCTACTGCCCCCATGAAAGCCTCCAGCGCCTGCAAAGGGGTGTTATCGCCCACTTTGAGAAAGGATGGTCTAGACCAGTGTTTCTCAACCTAAAACTCATTGTGGACCGGAAAATATCTGCTTTTTTTAAGTGGACCGGTGACAATATTATTTTTAATTGAAAAAAAATTCTCTGTTGTAAAAAGAACTGCAAACTACATTGAGCAATAAATATTTGTTATTTATTTACCAGTACATTAGTATACAAATCAATATGATTGCTGCTTTTCTTTTTTGCTAGTAAGATCATCAATTCTTGGATTTAAGGTGGTAACTGCAAGGCGTGAGGCAGAACTAACAGTAACAATTTCGTTGTTTTGATTTTATTATTACCATTGCTGAAAACGTTGATTCACGTAAGTACGTTGTTTAAAAAGGTAGTAACATCCTAACTGCCTTTTCATGTAAAACTGGATATTCAGATTTAACTTTAATCCAAAACTGTGTTATGGGCATTGATTCAAACAATGTTTTAAATCCCAAGTTTGAACTTAATTTGATTAGTTTTTCGTGTTCAAAGTCATTCAATCTATTAGTTTGCTATCAATAAACGGATTAATAATCCACATATTTCCTATTCGGGAACAACGCACGACAGGTTAAATATATATTTTTAAAGTTTTCGCGGACCGGTCAGATTAGAGTTGTGGACCGGTGGTTGAGAACACAAGTCTAGACTATTCTTCAAGTTTCTATAAAAAATTTCTGTTCATTCCTTTTTTCTCTAATAATTAAATTATTTTACGTTTTTCTATTTTAGTTCCGGACAATTCCGGAACCTCACACTTGTATTCCTATGAACCGGACTTGTATTCCTATGACGTCATAGTATTACGAAAATTAAGCAAGTTAACATTGGTCAAACTATCGGATTACTTGTTGATTTTCGAAAATATAACTACAGAATATTTATTACAAGTATGATCAATCTTGCCCATTTTTAAGCTCTAAAATTTGCCAAAATCAGTGATATTTGTTACCCAATGTCATTTCAGTTAAACTACTTATTAAACTATGTATCAAAGTTTCGGAAAAAAACGGGAGAGGGGGAAAAATATGCTTGCAGTACAGTACAATCAAGGAAAATTGTAACAACAAATATAAAAAGCTTGTGCCAACAACAAGTCAGCGCCAGTATTTTACTGTAAACATCGGGTAACTATTTATAATTTTTTATGTTGTGCAGTAATGTTTTAAATGTGAAAAACGATTAAATTACATTCTAAGTGAACATTATATTAAATTACAATTTCAACTTTTAAAAGTTTGCAAACAAATTTTTAATTAATTATTTTTTATTCTAATAAACAATTTCATCTTTTTATAATCGCTGAATTATTAAAATTAAAAATTAAACACTATTACATAAAAGTAGTTTATCCTGTTATTAATCCACAACTGTAAAATTATATGGCTTCAGAACGGTGAAAAAAACCATTTCAAAATGGATTCTGGTGTATTTTCTTATTAAAGATTGCAGCATTACTTCTTGCCACCTGCAGATGGCTATGATTGGTCATCCATATTCAGCAAACGAGATCAACAATGCAGTTAAAGAGACAAATTCCCTGACTTTTTGACAATTTTCAACAAATTCCCTGACTTTTTCCAAACACTAATGAAAATCCCTGATTTTCCAGGTGCATAGGAACTCTGTATGTTCCATCATTCTTAGTAGTGCAATTTTTTTTTATAGTCTATAATTAAAAAAAAAAAATGATTTTAAAACATAATTAAAGAAATAGCACTTCTGTGAAGTCAGAAGAGTACAAAAAACCCCCCTTTCACTACTTGCTTTTTTTTAAATACACAGTTATCATTTTAAAAGAATATATATATATATATAACATTACAATTGTAATATTTATCTTTTGGTTTTTACTATCATTTTAGTGAGTTAAATGTAATCATAAAAATTACTTTAAACTTCATTAAATAAAGTAATACTTACGTCATGTTTTCATCTGTATCAATGAATTCATCATCATGGAAGCCAAACTGGTCAACAAAATTACTTGTCATTTGTTGCATCTGATAATCAGAAAAAGCCTGGAGGCCAGGCCAAAAATACAGTGAAAACATATAGCATGCAAAGACAATATATGACAAAACAATACTACTACTGTCACTAAATATAGTGCTATGCAAAAAAATTAGCACACATCTTTGTATTCAGTGTTTTAACTTTTGTTTTAACTATTGCATTATATTGTTCATTAAAACAATACCTTAACAATTTTAAAACATCTACATAAATATGTTAATACTATTACAACAGTAATTATTAAAAACTGAAATTCTGTAAATTAAAGATAGATTAGCAATGTCAACGTAAAGTTCTAAAAATTAAATTATTAATCATCAGATTAATCAGAATTTTAAAAAGATCCAGCAACAAGATGCATAACTTTCCTGGTAAAAATTTAAAATTATTGTGGTGCCATCTTATATAATTTTATTATAAAATGGCAAAAGCTTAATTCTGAGGGTAGAGATGTGTTTTGTAAAAAATTGCAAATGTTAATAAGTAAAATCTTTATTAAATCTGACCCCACTCAAGATATGCCAAGTGACCCTTCCTATCTTCCCATCCACTTGACCTTTAACCACCAAAACTTAACAGCATCAATCCACTAATACATAAACCTCTCTGCAAAATTTTAATTTTTTACAAAAGACAGAGGAGTTATTAAGCTTGAAAGTAGGTGAACAAGATCAGGTCCCCTACACACACACTAACATACATACATACATAAACCACTCTTTTTTGCATTTATCAATGTTTAAAATCCAAAGACGTTAAAATCTTGGGAGTCATTTTTTAACCGATCATAATAATTTCCTTCAGTTACATATGTAACAGCTGAAAAAATAAAAGTGCTACTCTTTTTCAACTACACAATGTTATGTAATGAATCTTTTTCATGAAATGTTTTAAATTAGTATTGCTTAAGTTACAAGACAATTGGAAAAATTTTCAGGATGTATGAATTCCACGTTCTCATTATGGAAATAACATTTTTGTAACAGTTACTTGAACCACCATTCATCAATAATCAATAATAATGATAAAAGAAATTAAAAATCAAATAAATCATTCACAAATTGTTTAAAAATTTCTACATTATTAACCTCATTAAATTACTATAAAAATATGTTCAAAAAACCAATTTACAACTAAATAGCTGATCAATTGTAGCTAAATTTTGTCATCACATATCAAAACTTACACAAAAATAGCTTTTAAGCTAACTTATTTGCATAGCACAAAACAGATATTCATTTATATATAAATACTAATACAAACACAAGCAAAACACTCAAAATTCACTTATAAAATTAGATTATAAATACTTAATCCTTTGGGAAGAAAAATAACTTAATAATAACCAATAGAAAATTACATATATAAACAAAATCTTCTGTTATAAACTTAAGTTTGTAATAATAGTTAATATAAATCAATAAATATTAATGCTTTATAATAAGAACCAATAAGATTTATTCAATTATTTTTTAACCGAGAGCTTATATATATATAATTTTTTTTCTGTAAAATAAAAATTTAAATTGTCATATTTTCTCAATACAGTTTAAACAATAGTGTATGAGAATTTGACAAAGACCATAAATACGCATTTATTTATGCAACAGTCACAAGAAAAAAAAAATGCTTAATTGAATAAATCTATAAAGATTTTTTTCAAAATCTGAATTCCAATTAAAACTTTTCAAAAGAAATTTGAATAAATGAATACATTTTTTAATATAAATCTCAAAGTAATCATATTCATCAGCAGACAAACAATCTTACAAAATCTATAAAAATTTTATACTTTACAAAAAAGTTTAATTTTCAGTTTTACAGAGATAATGTTGAAATGAAATAGCTCTTATCTTAGACATTGCCTTTCAAACAAAAATAAAACACATATGTTATAAATAATCAAATATCTACTAATAAATTATATTCTAACAAATATTCATATTCATATTATGTTTAAATATGAATATTCTAACAAATATTCATATTTAAACATAAAAATAAATCATCACAAGTTCATAAACTTATGCATTCATAATACAAATAATTTTTAGTAAAAATAAAATTTTAAAATAAGCTACTTTTTTTACTTATATATTCAATTTAAGTTACTTGATTAGAAAATCTTTCCAACTATTAATGTAACAATAATCACAAGGTAAGAATTAAATGCTAAAAAAAAAAAAAAAATAATAATAATAATAAAGAAAAAACAAAATATGATAGAAAACTTCAATTATGAAAGTACCGTATTTCTGTACATATAACCCATGAACTGTTTTTTTTTGAAATCCTATAAAAATAAGATTTACAGGGATTCCCTATCATGTTTAATAAAAAATGACTATATTATACAATAAAAAATTGTCAATTAAAAAAGCTTTCTTCTATTTTTTTAAATAAAATATTCAAATATTTCTTCAAAATCAAATGTCACAATGAAACACAGCCAAAATAAAAATATATATAAAAAGAAATAATGTTCAATATACTTTTGTTAATATAATTAGGATGGTAATTTAGATTTGAGACTTTTCCAGAAAATTTTAAAAATTTGCCAGGTTCTCAGTTAATGATATTAAGGGAAAAAACTCCAAAGAAAAGATTTGTTTTCAATATTTTAATATCTAATGTATCCATATAAAGACCAAACACTGAGTTACATTAGTGCTAAGTTTTTCTCCAGCACAATGAAAATGCATATTTTTCATAAAAATTATGTATCAACAATTTCTGTAAAAAAATAAAAATCATTAGTTCTAACCTGAAATTCATGAAATTAAAAAAAATCTGAGATGCAACTAATCAATTATCCTCTCTCACTATATAAAAAGGTGATGACATTGTTCCTAAACACAACTTAAAATATGTACTTTTCAAAGATATAGTACTGAATATTAAAAAGTAACAACAAATTCTTACACACTCAATACAAGGAACAGTGTTAACAATTGTTATTCAAAGCAGTCCCCATATACATTGAAACAGAGACTTAGATGCTTCATTAAGTTGTTATAGACAGCATGAACTTTCTCAACAAATATTTTGTCCATTCATGGATCAGGGCTGACTATAGGGAATCCAAGTTTTGGTATAAGTTAACACAGACACCACTCTCCAGTACTGACTATACATTGTATAATCCATGGGGCTGAAGTGTGGACTATAGGGTGGCCATTTCATCCAAAGGATAAAATCAATTCCACAATTACCAAACCAGACCTGGACTTTTGCCTTCCTATGGGCTGATACAATGCCTTGCTGAAAAATCCATTTCTGGTTGCCAAAGTGGAACTTGAACCATGGAAGAAGAGAAGCTTCATGAATGTCAGGTGTAAATTTCATGACTGATTTTCACTGCCAATGAAAACTAGGGGTTGCCTGTTGCACAGATGACTTGAGAGTGGTAAGTGTGTGTGACTAGTTTTGAAGTATCTGGAGGGAAGATCGACTCTAAATTCTATTAATCTGATGATTATGTAATTGTTTAAATATTTTTTCTCAGTAAAATTAGGTCATCCTGCAAATCTCTTCTTCAGGGCATGTAATCTTAGGAGCTTTACAGTCTTGTTCTTTTCAATAAGCTCTTTGCAACTTGTATGGTCAAAGGCCAAGTGCATGTATGGCTATTTTCTAGATGGATTCACAGTTTACAACAAGCTGAAGAACAATTCTTTTGTATCTTCAATGTTGGATTTCATCTTATGTGATTTCTGAAAAAATTGTGCATTATAGGTAAATCAACAGTTTTTGCCTTCCATTTCTGTTTCCTTGAGTGGTTCATCTAGTCTCTGAAACAGTCATTCATAGAGCAGGAAGTAATTAACAATCCTAAATGGTAAATTTCCTGCATTGTACAAGTCAATTATCTCAGTACAATGCACTTTGACATACATTAGTGAAGTAAAAACAAATTCTTTTGAGAACAAGTTACAATCAACAACTTATGCTCAAAAGGATGCTCTAGAATACAAACAACTAAACTATTTAAATTTAAAAACAGCTACATTTGGAAAGGAAAATGAAAGTAAAAAGTTTTCTCAGAACACCACCGTGTACATATTTCTAGAAGAAAAAGTCATTCAATCAATCTTCATATACAGCAAACAGATTATGAAAATAAATGGAAGTTTCAGGAGTACAAATAAATGTCATAACCTTTGAAGTAATTATCTACAACAGTATTTAAAATGAAATAAAATTTACTTTGTAAAGCAACAAATGTCCTGAAAGACTCTAAAAGACAAACTGGGAGGTGGGGAAAAAAATTCAATATTTAGTGAAATTTAATTAAATTTAATACATAAATCAAATATAACAAAAATAAATAAATAGATAAATAAAATATATATATATATATAATATTATTATATAATGATTGTAATAATAAATAGTATTGATATTTACTGTATTATTAGCAGGTAGAGGGTTACCGATATCGCATAGTATGTCATTAGTTGTCGTTAGATCCGTTTGAGCAACTTCTGCCCCCCCCT